TCTAAATAAAAGAAACACAGCAGACAGTAAAAGCATGTAAAATAGGATTTATTCTGCACCGTTAACACGTCAAAGCAGCACAGACATGCCGCCCTCTGCGTACAAACACTAAGGCAACATTTCTATGTACCAAAAATAAACTTCAGAGACAGGCTCGGAGGGCAAAACACAACATGAATGCACCCTACGATGAAAAGTGTTTTCTTAATGGGGGCTGCCACGGATCACATGAACAAACCATTCACCTGACAAAGCACGGTAAAAACTCACACTTACAGTTAACAGCATTGGATAGACACATGAGCACACACTGAACGGTTTACATAAAGTTTCTTTGAAATAAAACTTCTGGAAACTTAAACGATATAAATAGAAAACATTGCCTCAAATAGTATCTTTAAGTGCTCGGAGCCTGAAGCTGCACTGTCACAGAAAACACTGCATGTTGGACAGTACAGAGTTAAATCACTTGGTACAAAACAAATAGCCTTTTTTTTTATTATTATTTAATTCATATTGCTGTTGAGTCACTTCTAAGCTCTGCTTGCAGCAAACTGTGAGGTCTACACTATGGAGCACCAAGTGACATTGTGCAGGCACTTCAATGCAGGTGGTTAGAAGGTCCTAATACAAGATCCTGAGGTCAAAAATCTACTCAGTAGCCTAGTTAATATATTTAAAGTTAACTGTTAGAGCTGTGAGTCTATTCATATCCTGTGTCTATGGTTAAGCATCTCATATCCTGCATTTCACATGGAACACATCATGTTAGACCATCTGATATATTATAACACGGAGCTAAAACTGAAGACCCAACAGACAACCTTGCATGGGTGACTGTCAGCGGAGATGAGTAGAGTGCATCATGATGACATGAGAAATATTTGAAAAAGTTGACCGGAGTGTACAGTATAGCTGCTTTGTTCTTTATCATAAATACATCTATAGGCACCATTTAGCGTGAAGTACTGTGCGTAACAACACCAGTAAGGATCTTTTTTTTAAACAATTGAAAGAAACCTTTTTGCTAAAAGGTAGTGAGGATGAAAACCATGTTAAAAATTACCTCATGAGTCTGTGTGTGTTTGTGTCATCAGGGTGAAATGTGGTCCACGAGACACCAACTGTAGCAGCTGTTTATGTGTCTGAAAGGTTATGGCCAGGTGTTCGCGATAGCGTCACCACCGAGGTCACGAAACTTTACAAGCGTCTAGTTGAGATCAAAATGAAGTAGTCCGACCCATGAGTACTAGTAGTCATGTCCTAATGTAGTCATGACTACTGGGTACTCATGGGTGGGAAACCCATCACAAGATGATCTCCATTTTTGAGATATTTGTGACTTTTCATAGGGTTAGGACTATTTGGTCAATATATGTTTATGGCAAGATCTGTAAATAGGTCACAGTGTAAATTCTGAATTACTCTGCAAAAGAGCCTGAATTTCCATATGGCAGAACAGATGTATTGCATCAGCAAGCTTAACCTCTTTCTTGTGTATAAATATACAGTATGAAATGATTTTTTTTAAATTCAATGTTAATAAATCATGGTGCAGCCCACAGTGAATAAAAGTCTAGCTTGTAAGTTTTGTGAATCCCACACCACCCTGCCAACACACACAGATGGAGTTAACACAACTTCATAAGTACTCGACAGACTGTTACCAAAAAGTGCATGAATAGTTCACAAAATAAATACAAAAATAACATTTATCCAATCATTTCATACTGCACATTGTTTCCTACAATATGCTATGTATACTTTATGTTAAATATGTATATAACACTTAAACAAAAGGGTTCATTTTTAGGGTCAAATTCTTCATATGATAACTGGTTACAGGAGTGTCGATGGCAGGCTTTGCAAAATATCTAAATACAAAATACAATAAATTCTGAGAAATAAATACAATGTGATGAAATCCTTCAAACAAAATACAAAGCTGGAGTGGATGTTCAAGTGTTGTGTAGCTGCAGGATACATTGAATGTTTCTAGGCATATATTTCCCTTCATGAAGTCTCTTCCACCCCAGACCTTCAGCAGGTCTTTGTTTAAATACTCACTTAATTGCCCCTCAGAGTCACATTGTTTTCTCTTTTTCTCTCCTAGTTTGCACACAAAGGTCAAGCTCTTAACCCTCTGCTCTACTGGGTGTCCTACACTGAGCATTGGTGAGATCAGTGAAGCCATACAGGCCCTCCTGATGTGAAAAAAGGCAATGCTGAAACCCATTCTCCATTTTAATGGCCTGCATCTTTGTAGTGCTTTTCCTGAGCAGTGCTCAAAGTGCCTTACAAAACATGTGCATGAAGGTGGACAGTGTCTAAGTGGCTAAATGTAGTCAAAGTGGACTTCAACAATGGAGTTTTGCATTTGGAGTGTAGAGTCAGTGCATTACATTAAATATATAGTTAAATATTATGTCCTAAAATAGGTGAGAAAGATAAATTGTATTACAAATTTGTTCACAAGGGCAACTTATTCAAAGGTAAATATGCATTTGAACTTTCAGCAGTGACCCAATCGTCTCTGCAGTTTGGATTACTATCTAATTTACCTCATGTTAGGTTTTTGAATGTGACCTTAATGCTGGGGTGTGTGACAATCACATAGACATAATCTAATAGTAACTAACTGTAGCAAGCCACATTCTAATACTATGTTTGCTGTGTTCTTTTTTAAAAGCATAGTCTCATAGACACAATGAATCTCAAGGCTTCAGCAGGAAGCTGAAGCAGGATTTCAACATTGCCCTTTTCCACCACCAGGTGGCCCTCATGTTCTGTCAAGGTTTATATGTAATGCAAAGATGATGAAGAACTGTTATATGGAGAGAAAATTCCTATTCTTTCTTAAGTGTCCCTTTCCACTAACCTTTCACAGATCCAATAAGACTGGTTTAGTGCAAATGAAGCAAAATGGAGGGATCCCGGAGCCACTGAGGTCTTTTTTTTCATAAGCACTAAGCTAACAATGGTCTTAAAAAATCTGTGATTAAGAGTAAAGTGGGAAACAAAGGAATAGAGGGCCATTATGACTTGGGGCACAGTGAGGATCTGTTCTTCTTCTACTTAGTCTTTGGGCTAAAGCTGACGCCAGGCCACTCATAGATGTCTGGAAGGAAGGAGTCATACTCGGTGTTCCACACAGTCGTACGTATGAAACCGTTCTTGTCCACAGGCTCAGGGTAACGGAACGCCATGCCTTTAGCATAGACATACTCCATCACCTGAAGCAAAGATGAACAAGTTTAGGATTAACTTAACAGGACACAAGGACAGATCCAAGTGCTATACAGTAAAACAGCAAGAAAACTGCAACCAAATCTGACTAGACAACAGTGTTAGAGAAGGTTAAATGTATATTGTTTGTCAGGCTGTGGGCCATGGATGTAAAAAAATAAGATGAAGACAGCAATGGCTACATTTAGGCTCTAACTATGAAGGTTTACCAACAGCCAAAACATTGGGACACTTGTCACAGGGGGGAACCATTACTTTCAGGAGACGTACCTTGACAGCCATCTGGACAGAGACCTCTCTGATGTTGGAGAGAGGAGGGTAGAGTCTGCCTTCCTCGAGCTCTTTATCAGTCAGCTGCTCCGCAAGGGTCTGGAAGGAGAATAAAAACTCCTTTAGGCTAAAGATTAATTTCTAGGGTTCAATAAATGGAGACAAAATCTACTCCTGTCATTTGTCTGTAATATACTTTTGCTGTTTTTCATCTGCACTAATGTGAAGTCATAGATTAAATACATAAAGAGGAAAATAAGACAAAATAGGACAAAGATAAGATAGAAGATTTGGTAGGCCAAGTGACAGAACTGCCACACCCCCCTTCCTCAGATTACCACTATGCAGATGACAGTGTTCTCACAAAGAGTACTGGCAAATGAATAGTGATAAGAAGTTAAATGAAGAAAGAAAACAGAGTGCAAAGCAGAAAAGGCCTTTTAAAGCTCTTCATCTGTTAGCTGTTATACCAGAGTCTAGAAAGAGAGGGAACAGGAGACATCAGAGGGTTAAAGAGGGTTCAAATGAGCTTACAGGGCATATGCATACAAGACAGCAAGAAAGTGCAGAATAAGGTTAGGGCGAGGTAAAGATGAACTTTAGCAGGAGACAGAGAAATACTTAGTGTTCAGACCTTGGCAGCTTCTAAGAACACCGTGTCGCTGATGTGTCTGACTCCACTGAGGATCACAGCCAGGGCCACACCTGGAATGCATATATAGACATAAGTGCATTTGCTTTTTTTGCATGTTGTCTATCATCCACTGACTGTTATAACACTGTAAGTTCAAGGGATTATTCAAAATTCAGAATGTAGTCATACTTCATGCTCTCCTCTGGTCGTTAAATTACAAATATTCGTTCACCTGGAAAGATATAAGCGTTGTTTCCTTGTCCTGGCGTAAGGACGCGACCATTGCTCAGAGTCACTGGTCCAAATGGACTGCCACTGGCAAAAAGACATCGACCCTGCAGGACACAGAAACAAAGATGTCAGTTTGTTAGGGACAAAAAGAAAAGACAGTAGCAGCGATTTTCTCATGCTTCCTTTCAAAATCAGTCGAAAAAGAAAGCAAAAGCAGGCAGAAAAAAATGCGTACATCAGTTAGTGTGTAGGCATCCTCAGCTGTGCACTCTGCTTTATTGGTGGGGTTACTGAGGGCAAAGATGATTGGCCGTTCGTTCAGCGCCCCCATGGCCTTGATGACATCATGTGTGAACAGGCGTCCAGCTCCGGACACACCTAGAAGACGGAAAGAGAAAAGTTGGTCATCGAGTTTGTGATCCATCATTAGCGCTTAAGTAAAGTTTGAAATGAAAGACAACAGGGATTGGCAGCAAAATGTAAGACTAATTTTTGAGTACTTAATTGGATTGTTGAAAAATTGCTTTACAGCTACACAAATTCAAAAAATGAGCTCATCACCGATGATAGCTGTAGGTTTGATGGTGTTCACAGCATCCAGGAAGCTCTGTATATCCCCTGGACTGTCATGGACGAATGCCTCCTGGTTGGCGTCCGTTTCCTGCGGTCTGCCCTGGAGTCGCATGCAGTGCATTGGTGGCAATTAGAAATCAATAGTAATACAGTAAAACAAGCTAGACAGTGCACAGCGGGCCAGACAGGAAGCCACACAGACGCTTTATCTTCTGGTCATTAATGTTTGAGTCAGACACACTAACCTTTACGAGTAAACCGTATTTATCATACATCCAGATCTTCTTTTGGGCCTCGTCTTGGGACACCCCCGCCTCCGTCATGGCCATTACAATCAGATTGGCAATACCAAGGGCAGCCTATGAAGAAAGTATTTAGACAGTGTAGCCATATACAAATGTAATCTTTATTTTCGAATAAAACAACTAAAAATCCTCTTTTTTTTGGTGTTGATGTTGGACCAGTGCTGGTGAGCGGGGGAGCAGTGTGACTCATATAAATGGGAAAATTGCAAGAAGCAATAAAAAACCAGGAGGGCTTGATTTGACTAGTGGATCAATATTAGCTTACCTCTCCTGCTCCTAGGAAAAGCACCCGGTGTTCAGTGATGGGTTTGCCAACGGCTCTCTGAGCTGCTAACAGACCAGCAAGGGCTACAGATGCAGTGCCTGGAAACATGTAGAAGAACAAAACGGTAAACAGTGGAGTCTGCCTTAAAGAGAACACTCACTGGTTATTTGTCTTCAGGTGATGAGGGTTTACCTCATTTTCAAACAACTACTGAATTCACCTCTCAAATCACAGCTGTCTCCCTCATTAGTGTTTGGTTTTTTGAAATGGATCTGGCAATAATTGCAGCAGTAACGCAGCTTAAAAGGTCGCAGTACTTAATGGATTCTGGATTTTCAAGCAAGTTTCACAAAATCTCAACAGCAAAATGAAAAATAAAAACAGCAGCTCCCCAGAGGGCCAGTTACTGAACAATGAGAGAGCAGGCAATTTGTAGAAATGGCCTGAAACTCGCAAACCTCTCGAATGCTTCTTTTAGCAACACCAACAGATCTGTATTACACCTACTTCAGCTGCTGATTTTAACTGAATATGTAAAAAATGGGCCTCACAAAGCAGGCTTTAAATCAGCTGAACAGATATGCCTTGAGGAAGATGCCTTGAGGATGTTAAAGCCTGGATGGCCCCTAACTCTCGAGAGGAAAACAGAGGTGATTGTGTTTGGCCCTAGCGGCTCCTGTGGATCCTCCCCTTGTGGATTTGGGTCCTTTGGCAGTTGTTGTGAAGTCTACTGTGACTAACTTGGGGTTTAAGATGGACAGCGATTTTAAATTGGACCGCCAAACTAGTGCAGTAGTAAAGTCTATTTTTTTCACCTCAGGCAGCTTGCTAAGGGGAAGCCTTTTCTCTCGCACCAGCACTTTGAAACGGAAATCCATGCATTCACTTTATTTTGGAGTTAGCCAGTCCTCCCTTTACGTCTCCAGTTAAACCAGAATGCTGCCACCTGTCTGCTAACTGGAGCACGAAAGAGGGAGCACATCACACCCATCCTGGCCTCCCTCCACCCTCCACCTGTGTACTTTCGGGCTCATTTTAAAATTCTTTTATTTGTTTTTAAATCTTTAAATGGCCTCGCCCGCTCTCCCTCTCTGAGCTTCTTCACGCCCCTGCACGGTACCTCCGGTCAGCTGATCAGCTGCTCCTTGAGGTACCAAGGTCCAAGCGAACGCTCAGAGGGGACCGAGCGTTCTCTGTTGCTGCTCCTAGAATATGGAATACCTTTGCACATCAGGCAGGCCTCCTCACTGTCTGCTTTTAAAACCCACTTTTATTCACTGGCTTTTAACCCAGCATGAGATCTCGCTCTGTTTTAGTTGTTTTTATTTGTTCTATGCTGTTTTTTTTTGTTGTTTTGTGGTACAGCACTTTGTTTCAGCTGTGGCTGTTCTAAAGCGCTCAATAAATAAAGTTGATTTGATTTGATACATGAACACAATTTAACTCTGACTTACGTATTTTATATGGTGTTAGTGGATATGTGCTTCTAAAAAGTGAACTCATGACAAAGACATTTATGCGTTATGTGTGAACCTTGGATGTCGTCGTTGAAGGTGCAGTACTTCTCCCTGTACTTCCTGAGGAACCGGAATGCATTGTGGTTCCCAAAGTCCTCAAACTGGATCAGTGTGTCCTGCCCATACTTCTCCACCACCGCTTCCATGAACTCATCGATCAGATCGTCGTAGGCCTGAGAGCGGTCTCGCTTCTGGTAAAGGCCCATGTAGAGCGGATCGTGAAGGAGAGTCTAACGGGAGGGCGAAGATAAACAAGAGAGCATGAGGACAAACATTTTACACACACATACATATAGTAAACAGAAAACACAACACGGCCTTCCTACCTCGTTGTCTGTGCCGACATCTATCACCACAGGCAGACACTTCTCTGGTCTAATGCCAGCACAGGCAGTGTACAGGCAAAGCTTTCCGACAGGTATGCCCATTCCATAAACACCCAGGTCTCCTAATCCTAGAATACGCTCTCCATCAGTCACCACTACTGCCTACAGAACGAGAAGAAAATGAGGAGGTGAAAAAAAAATGCGTTAGTTGGCAGAAATGCAGATTAAAATTTTACAAGCACACATTTGTGAACTGTATTAAACTTTAGCCCAGTCAGGTGAATGGAGAAAATGTGGACAGTAGTAGCAGGTCAATTAACAAAACTTTCTGTCATAATTAGAACTTGTATAGCCAGTGTGTTTATAAGTGACTGATTATGCATTTACAGTTAGTTTCTAAATTCTCAGTGCGTGACTTTACGAGTCTCTGTTACACTGTAGTATAAACATTAGTGGAACAGGTAATACTGTGGTGAAGTTGGTTGGTACTCACTGCCACATTAGTCTCTGGCCAGTTGTCCAGGATGGAGCGGACGTGTCCTCTGTCCCGAATGGAGATGAACAAGCCTCTAGTGAAAGAAACACAGGGATAGTTCAGGTGTTTTAGCAATCATGGTACAATTCTATTTTATACAAAATGGCAAAAAAGAGGACATGTCAAAGATGCCAGAAAACACAATTTATTTCATAAACCAGTTCGAAATTCATTGTTCAACTCGTTCAAGTGATTGCCTCATGTTTTAAGTCCTGCATACTGACACCAAACGTGTGAAAAAGTTCATCTGCTGCACAAACCTGGAACGTTTGGCAGCAAATACTGAAGCTTGCTGCACCTTTACTTGCAGGTCAATTTAAATCCACGATCACAGGCGACACTGCTTTTGATTGTAGGTGCTTTTAATTGTGTTTCCTTGTTTGCTTTGTCGTTTTGCCTATTTATTCTGTTGGCTGTACTCTCTACATCACTGTCAATGAGGGCATTTCCTCATTGATTCTTCCAGATTTAAATAAAGTTTGATTTACAAACAATAAAATCTTTAACATTACCATGTGACAAAATCCCTTTACTGTATGCAATAGGTTCCATATGTCTGCCATCAAAGCAAGTCCTACATTAAAGGCTTAAATTCTTAGCAAAAAGCCCTTGGAGGTGATTCTTTAATTATTTGGCTGAATGCTTACTTGGGTCTTCTAAAGATGTGTCCATATTGCGTGCAAGCCAGGCCTACAGTGGGAGTATAGACAATTGGCATCAGTTCCTCAATGTCTTCCATCAGCACCCGGTAGAACAGCCTCTCATTCCTCTCCTGGATGCCCATCAGGTAGACGTACCTGTGTGGAAAAGGATGGGAAGTTAAAAAAGAGACGAAAGGTGAAGCTGTGTATGGCTACACTTTCCAGTCCTTTTAAGTATAAACATGTCCTTACTTCTCCAGGGGATCCGTCAGCTTCTTGAGATTATTCTGAAACCTCATTGCCTGAGTGTCCTGAGTCTCCACTTTGGGAGGCAACAAACCATGAATCCCCAACATCTGCCGCTCCTGCAGAGAGAAGGCCATACCCTGTGGAGAAACACATGCAGAAAAAAGAAAACTGTGAGCAGGAAGACGATAAGAATGAAAACATTGGTTTCTACTTATTGGTACATGATCATTTTTAATTAATTAATTAAACTCAGGCAGCGTTGACTTGAACTGATGTCGATTTTTACTGTGAACTCTTCTTGTAAAACAACAAAAACGCTATATTTCAATTTTATTTCTATTCTAACTGTACTTTTAATTCTAATTATATTCATTTTTATTCCACACGTGTCTTAATATTGGTTCAAGTAAAAATGTAATTCTCTTAAATAATGGTAGAATAGCAGTCTCTCTGTGGAAAGCTTGTCTTAAAAATGCTTAAATATTTTCACCCTGACATTTATTATGGTTTGATATATCATAGATAGTCAGAAAGTGTAAAAAATGAGCATAACGTGTGCAGTTTAGAGACAGTTAAAAGTTAAAATATCAGATCTGCTGCAGCTTTTAACTCAAAATAAACAAATAAACTAAATATTTTAAATTAATATCCCCCACTGAACTAAAACCTGCTGCAGAAAATGTTGCCATATCAGTCGTTCTGTCACTAGAGGGCACACTGGTTACCTCTGAGCCCTACGATGGAGTGACCTATTGACTCCTTTAAAATGACAGCTGAGTGAAAGGGGTAAAACAGATGAAAGCAATTTTGCAGCAGGGTAAAGGGGAAGGAAAGGGGGTAAGAGAGGGGGAGTAGCCCAAAAGAAGCCAATGGAGAACACTGTAGGCAGAAACACCCCGTTTATAATGGCGGTGACGGGGAGGAGGTGAGACGTTTTCATGTTCCTGTGGTTTATGTGAACATGTGTGTGTGCAGCACATCTCTGGATGAAATATGGGCGTAGCACATAGAAGCCATCGTGTCTGGGGCTGGGGCAGGGGCTGATTATTTAGTGAGAGTGATGAATGCTGGGGGCTCCCCTGGAAAAAATGCTGAGTCATGCTGATGGAGCGTTTCACTTCATTCAGCTCTATCGCTCAGTTCCTCTCTGCACAGCGTCACATGCTGCACACCTCTGATATCTAGCTTTGGCTTTTTTTTACATGGAATTTCAATTTTAGGCTTTTCTTTGTTCAAATGTTTTCTGTTTTATATTTCATTCGAGTGCTTTGAGGGATTAAAAAAGTGGCCTCATCTATAAAAAGCACAGGAAGTTTTCAGGTAGTTCCTAGAAGCTAAGTTGTACTGTTTGTGTATGCATTTTTAAAATATATTTATTATTATATTGACATGTGATTTGAAACACAAACCTGACATGGATTTGAACAGTTAAATACAGTTTTAAGACAAAATGTTTAAGTGCAAATTAGACAGGAATTCATTGGCTTAAGTTAAATTTTTTTGTTTTAGTGAATGAAATTGCTCCAAATAGTTCATCCTTCCTGCATGGTGAACATTTATTTTGCATAATTTAATAAATAAACATGAGTGGAGGAGCATAGGATCACATTAATCACTTTAAGCTCATTCACACATAAAAAATACAAAAATAAGACAGTGCTGCCAGAAAATACATAAAAGGTTGTTTGTTTTTAGTTCACAGGACCGTAGGAGGAAATTTACCTTTTCAGCTTCAGTATCAATGACTACTTTAAAGCAAATGTGTATTTTAGTGATTGGCTTCAAACTGTGGAATTCTCTAAAGACATTGTTTAAAGGGTTGGATGATTTTTCTGAGTACAGGAAAATGTACACAGAATAAAAACTAGACTATTCAGAGTTTGGATTAATTAATTAGTATGACTCTTGATTCTTTTTTTCTAATATTACAATAGGTATTGTTGCTAAGAGCAAGCAAAATAAACAATAATTTCTGAAACTCTGCGACCTTTACTGTTGAGTTATGAGATAGGAGAGTCATGACAATGCAGCCTGCTGATGCAAGTCACATCTGCTGTGGTAAATATAGTCTATGACCAACCAGCAACCTGCTCTTTCTGTTTTGCTTCATGCAGTTTTAAGTGTATTTAGATGAACTTGTTGACTAAATACAAAAAGGAAAATAAGAGTTTAAAGGGCCAATGTGAAGGATTTAGGGGAACAGATTAACAGAAATGTAATATAGTCGTGATTGTGTTTTCATTAGTGTATAATCACCTGTCTCTACTAATCATTTCTTTAGTCATTTTTCTCAGCCTATAATGAGCCCTTCATATCTTTAATGATAGTGGGTCCTCTTCCATGGAGCCTGCCCCAGTGGGCGACTATACAGTACTCCAGAAAGGACAAAGCATACATTGCCACAAGATTTAAGAAGCAGCCAGCGTAGGCTCTCCTAAATACTTGGTAGCAGTGAGGGGATTTGAAGCAATCTGCAACCTAGATGCTACTAAATCCTACACTTTAACTGACATTTAAATACAAATTACAGCCTGACATGTACACCATGGAGTTATAGTTGTGCTTCATCCCTGACACCAAAAAAATATCTATTTTTTTCCCCAAGCACATAAATCATATTTAAAAGAGAAATAGTAAATTGTGTAACCTGTGAAAGTGTTTTCTAATATCTAAACAACACCTTTTACTCTGTCACCCCTCTCAATGTCTCTGCCCTTTGTGCTTGCAAACCCCTGGGTACTCACTTTTTCTTGCTCCCAACTTTTCTGCCTCTGTGCAATTTCCTGTTTGCTTGCACACTCGCTCATTTTGACCAGGATTTTTGCACAATGTGCTGCAATGTCAGGCAATCAGGAAAATGAAGAAAGTCATGCTTGGTTGGCTGTTTTAGTTCCAAGGTGAGCATCAGAAGAATATTAAGCAGCTCCACATCCCCAGTTTATTTATATAGATTTAGTTAAACATCTAGTTTTATGAATCTTTATTAAATTCTGTTTGTAAGTTGGTGATCAAATGGATTCAGTTTCAAACCAATACTACACCTTGCTTCATCCATCTTTACATACAGTTTATGGGACCACTGGGCAGTTGGCCTTTGACCAGTGTATATGTCGGCTGGAATGTCTATATTTAGTGCAACATGTCTAGTGTGGTCTAAGTTTAACATAACCTGCACAGAGCAAGATCATGTAACTCCAAGCAGCTACAGCTTCATGTTTCAAATGTCATTTGTTACTTTCAGCTGAAAAAAAACACGCAAGAACGTTGTCACGTTGATGCAGAGTGTGGTTACCTGTGCATGGCAACGCAAAGCACAACATAACATTTCAAGCAGAGAGGGGAAAAAAAAAGAATCTTTGATGTGTTTGCAGAGCAGAAATAAAGAAGCAGTTGCAAACAGAAAGGTTGTTTGGCAACATCTTAACTGGCATTAGGGACTACACCCGACGATGACGCTGGGTGTGGTCAGAGCTGCAACATTTGAAAAATCCAACCAATGCATTTCAGGTTTATGTCTAGATGTTACTCTTAAATCACAGCCTATTTTAGTTTACACAAAATGGCAAAATGCTAACATCTGAGCTGTACAAAACTAAGAAAGAAAAGGCCTGTCAGAACCTTTAAGTCAATTCCTGCCCATCACACTACAACAGAGCTCCTGGCTATTCTTATCTTGGGACGTAAATAGAGATCCTGACACCTCCAGGGCTCCAGGGAGATAGAGAAGTGTTATAAAAAGCCAAAAAAAAAGAAAAAGAGTACGTGTAAGTGGGACTTTAACATTTAAAGAATGTACATGAGGGATACCTCATAACTACTGTCAGCAGTCAAAACCTCAGTCAGAAGGAGACCATGAATATATTGTGTTGAGTCTATTCTATTATTTTCTGCACTGTGACCAAATAATATTGTACAATTTAAACAAAAATCACAGGTGTTTTTATATCAGAAGTATCAGAAAACCTATGTCAATTAGCCCGATATTGTTTTAGTGGCTTTGAAGCCTTTATGTGATAGAGACTGTGAAGAGAAACTGTAAACTGGGAGAGAGAGAGTAAAGGAATGACATGCAGCACATGGATGATAATGGGCTGACACGCTGCAGGATATGTTTATAAAGCTGCCATCTATTTACCCACGATGTCTTTCTAAATGCTGACGCATAAACACAACGTCAGCAATCCACCTACTTTGTTGGTGCGAGGGTTGAGCATGAGGGGTTTGCCCTTCTCTTTGGTGTGGGCCCATCTGCAAACAGAGACGCAGGGCCTCAGGGACCAGGTTGTCCTCAGTCTGGACAACATGGTAGACAGTCACTGGTCTGGAAGGTCCACTGGTGGAAAGATTCTGGGGAAGAGAAGACAAACAAAGTTCAGTAAATTGCCTAGAGTTATAACCCAAATAACACACTGTACAGCACAAGTATTTCCATGTAGTCTTCCTGCTGGGAAGTTAACAGCTGGCTGTAGAAAGCAGCTCTACTGGGATGCTGAATATTATGTGTAGGGCTCCTTGAAAAAGTATTTAAATATAATAGTTCATGGTGCTATACACAATCACTTCAACTCCTTAGGCTTTTTAATGTTGTTAAGCATCATTTGTCTAAGATACATTACCAGAATATGCAAGTTTATATCTTATACGTTGGGTTCCTCGGGCGGTTAACAGCCGTTGCTTTACTGTTAAGCTACTCTCCTGGCTGACAGTCGAGGCCTGGAGTGCACACTTCTTAAACGCATAACAATATGAGACCCCCATCGTGCCTTGACACGACAAATCTATCAGCAGCCTTCAGACACACACACTTATTCACAGGAGCAAACGTATGCATGTGGTGTGCATGGAGGGTCCACACTTCAGGATTACAAATGGTGACAGCAGCGACTGTCATTAATCTGGATGTGGTCCGAAGTGATTTAGCGTGCGATCTGAGAGACAAAGCTCTGGAAGATTGTCATAATCTCCTTCGCAATGAGCTCCACACGAAGACGCACAGCAAGATAAATCATGGTGGAAGCAGCAGAAGATGGATGTGAAAGACGGGCAGATGACGTGCATCACATGCTGGCTGGAAGAAAAACTCCAACTAATAACCACAGAAACGTGGAATCCGGAGAGCAGACGTGGAGGAATAAATATTCTCGGCTATATTGGAAGTAAAACAAGCTCATGAATAAAAACACAAAACAGTATCTGCTGGCAGGATTTCCTAAAATGACACCACATGTACAACTATTACCGTATAATCGCTGTACACAAGGCCCTCTGCTAGACTTTCTGCTGCTGCTGCTGGCCTGAATAGTATCGTCATTGTCAGAGCTATGTCATGCATGTGACCTCTGATTCGCTGCTTAATTGTGTTATACTGTGTAGTGGTGGATGCAGAAGAGGTCAGCCAGAGCTATTCTTACACGATCTCCCCATGTCGTCGACAATAAAGCTTTTCATATCAAACCAGAAATTAAATGCTGCCCTCTCATCTAACTTGCAAACCCAAAAGACAACCTACAATCGCAAGTTATAATTTTTACATCACCAAAAGCAGAGCACATCTCTCTTTTCTTAACACTTTTATTTTTCCACCAAAACCCCCGCTGACCCTTCTTGACTCCAACCCTCAGAGGAAGTGCAACTGGACCTGCAAGCAAGTGACGCAGCGAACAGCATCACACTTCCTACTTTGGCCGAGTTTACTGACCAGGATGTGCAAATGTGTACGAAAAATACTGCTTAGAAATACAAGAAAAACAGCCAGCTACTACAAAAATGTATTAGCTAATTTCTCATATAATTTGTAGGTCAGTGAGGGGTGAGATCGAGATCATTTCACGGCCTAGATAGAACGTGCAGCTCAGCTCAGGTGGCAGAAGAACAAAGTCAGGGACGCTTAATTAGACAGACTTCTATGCGGTCAATATTTTCCTGCCCGCCTACATTCCTCACTACACTCCTCCTGCTGCTATATTCGTTTGTTCGTGTTATCATTGCAAATATCACCCGCACAAAGCAACAGGCAAAGTAGCGCTAAGTTAAACAAATGTGTGTGTCTGCGTGTCTTGTATTACTTGCCAGCTACATCACTTGCAACAGTTTTTTTTAACTCTGTGTTTAATTATTTAATCACACCATAATGGCTTACTTCTGTTTGACATCTAAACCAGCTCAACACTTACAACTGACCTTAAAACTCTCCAAGCAAACAACTTGTGTGATTTTCTATTTGCCTGTTCTTGCCATTAAAGAACGGATTCAGAGGAAGCATCTGTATCTTGTGCACCTTTTCTTTGACCACAGTATCTGATGCAGGAAATCACAAGCGCAGCCAGCTGGCCAAGTCACGCCTCACAACTACACATCCAGGAAACGCCGCCTAGAAAGCAGCATTAGAGCCAAAGCCAACGCCGCAGACTGTATAAGCAGCACCACACATTTTAATTATGGGTGGCTTTGAGGTTCAGCCTTGATGGAGCTTCTGTTAATTCCACTCTTTGTGTTATAGGAATACTTTCTGATGACCCACTTCTACTTGTGCTTTCCACCTGTTTCTCAAGCAAATAAACACCTGATGCCATAATTAGTGATTCAGTGGAGTCCTTAAAATCCGTTTTCAGTTCTATTCCTTCCAGACTTAATCAGTGCATCACCTCTAGGAAATCAAGCATGCTGAGATTGTCTGTAATTGGCTGTTTGGTACTTCTTGTGTCTGCCAAGTAACGAGGTAAATCTTGCACAAGTGCCAGCTTTGTATCATTGTTGGAACACCTAGTGTGAGTGCACATTTCCAGAGCCAGAAACTGGTCTGGACTGAACGTGTAATTGTTTTGTATGCAGATAGCACATGAAAGCAGGCAACCACCCCACCTAGAGTTATGCATTTGGCTTCTTCATCAAATGTTAATCAGAATGGAAGCAAACTGGTTAAGTGGCGCTGATGTCTCCACACAAATACAATATCCTGCCAAGGCTGGAAATCGACCAAACTAAGTATTTACAAGTACTTCAGCTGAGTGGGTAAACTTAAGGTTCAATATAACTCAGTGTGAGTATAACTTGAACATTTCACTTCCTCCCCTTCATACTGTGGGCTACTGATCATTTTTAATTTCATTCTAAACAGGCAGGGCAAGCAGACTAATGCATCTCACATTACTGGCTCTGGTAGAATACAATGACCACACTGACTTAAACAAACTGTTCACTCCATGCATTACTCACCAACAGAAAGGCAGGGTTCTCATTCATGCACACTGTGGACATTTGCTTAACCTGACAAACAATAAATCACACCCACATGCAGGCTTTCATGTGTAAACTATGGCCATCTTGTTTCCTCCTGCAGGAATGCCTGGGCACTGAATATAAAACCCATCTGTAGGGGTTAGCCATTAACTAACATATACTGTCAATGAGGTAAAAACCCAGTAAAATGTTTGGACACTTAAGATTTTTATTGTGCTTAAAGCAATAAAATGTAGAATAGTTTCAGCTCTACCTTTCTATTTCTACTCTCATATTCTGCTTGGAGGTGAAAGTGAATGGAAGGAATATTACTGCTAAGTGTTCAGATTTTTTTAAAAACTGGAGAAGCAAAAAAAAACAAAACAAAACTAACTGCAATCTGCTACATTAGGAAGCTAATTAGCTAGCATAGGAATCTGACGCCAGCAGAGAGCAGCAGCTAACAACTGCTACAAGCTAACATTTGGCTAGCTTAACACACCAACGGACCAAGGTGTATGTGAGCACCGGTTTCAGCAAACAGGTCAGCGACAGAAAAGCGAACACAGTCTCGGTGTTTGGATTTATTAGGCTGAAACAGGAGTCCAACACCAGACACGTCCTGTCCTCATGTCTTCGCTCCCCGCTGACACTCATTCAGACGCCCCCCCTGCTCGCTAGTTCTTGCCTCAGAAAGGGAAGTTCTTAGATGACACAGACTTTCGATTATTTAGAGAATAACGGCCCGGCTTACCTGCTGTTGTGTATCAGAGCACTTACGTTCCTTAACTTGGACAGGTTAATGTTTTTTAAGCATATTTCTCCTGCTGTTAGCTGTGCAACTGCTGCGGTTCACCCACTTGTTCTGTCCCTTGACAGCAGATGAGAGCCGGAGAGAGGACGCAGTCTGGAAGAACTTGGCCGCTCAGCCAATCACATGCTGGCTCTGGGTTACCGTAATGACGGCGACACGCGCAGGATTTTTTTTGTATCTTTAAACCCTATTAGCTGTAATTACGGTAGGGATTCTGACTCAAGCTATCAATAGGATTATAAAAAAACAGATTAACCTTAACTACTTTTTAAATGGGAATTAGTCATGGTGTCATTGAGGATTGAATAGAACAATGTAATAGCGCAATAGCAGTAATTGTTAGTGTATTTCTATTTGTGTGTAATTAGCTGTGTTTGGACGATTGAGCCATAAAATATATTATCCCGTGTGTGTGTATATGTGTGTGTGTGTGTGTGTGTGTGTGTTTTACCTTTACCTAACATTATCTATGGTGACAATACACCAAAGAACGAGATCAAATAGTAGTTTCAGTATTGTTTTATTAATTATTGAGCAAAAACAGAAATTCCAAAAAAGAGAGACTATCAATCAAGATTGAGCAAGATTAAAAACTTCTTCTCAAATGAAATCTGAGGCCTTGCCGCGTGAGTACAAAAGAAGTAAGGGCCCACAGAAATCTGACTGTTCCACAAAGTGACACGTAATAAAAACAACAACGTTTAAGCTGTTCGAATAGCCATGCAGAAGGGAGGGCATATGTTACATTCAGCAAGCTGGAAGCATTGAGGTGTACTGAGGCACAATTTCTACATTGCTTTACACACTTAAAATAATGAAGTACGGCTCAGTAACCACGTGTGTTACAGCATGTTTGTGTCACTTGTCAATGATGTTATTGCTGGCTTAGGTTACCTGCAGAAGAAACTGTATACTGCAAAATGTGATCATTAGACCTGTGTAAGTGTGTAAGTTAAAACCAGAATTTATTTAAATTAGTTTGCCTGCAGCAGAGCTTTTATCAATTTCTGTAAATAAATGATCTGCTCTAGAGCAAAAAGACTGACAGATTGTACGATTTTTTTTAAGTGGAGCACTGATTTCAGTTTGTCCAGCAATCCAGCTCAGGTATGTTTAATAGCAAAAAGGTAAATTATAGACAAAAACGAACATAATGGATGGTTTGTGTTCCTGCTGTCGCTAATGAAATCCTGTATTTCTAAATGTGCTCGTGACACTACATGTGCTTCACTGTGAATAAGAACAAATATACCTGGCTTTGCTGTGTAACAGGTTGTACAGTTGGCAATTCTCATGTATGGCTTGATCCCGTGGAAGTCATACTATGTTGTGCAAGTAAAGAATTGCTTACAACCTTTGAATGTTGGCTACAGCGTGTATTACCGGTGCAGGTACTATGCAAATCAACAGTTTTAGAGCAATTCTGTATGTGCATGAACAGTTAAAAGCTGCAAAAGCATTTGAAAACTTAACTTTGACCTGTGTGCAGCTTGTAAGCATTGTATGGTTATGATTCAAATTAATTTTAGAGGCCATGAAACATTTGTTTCTAACTGAGTACAGTTTAATCAGACTGTGTATCAGATGCTAGACTGACAAATGATAAAACATTCTTATTTTGCTGTGTTGCTGGCAGTGTGTTTTTATATATCTTAGTATTGTGCCTCTGGCACTCCCCATACCTGGACTCCTGTGTACGTACAGCTAACCAACTGCATTCAGTCAATAGTAAACTCACAGCAGAGCATTATAGTTACAGTATAACCGGGCATGGTGGGATTGTAGCTACAGAATTTGTCCATTAATTCAAATGTATTTATTTTTGGCACTAGCTCTGCAGAATATCTTTAATGCTTCTTCCATATGCTCACTAATAGCTTTTTTAGTTCTAAAATTGCAGTGAATGTCAAATGCACTTGATTAAGAGACTATTAGGTACAGGCCAACAGTCTACATCTGTTAATAACGTACTGTACACCTGACTGTATCTTTTACCCGCTCTGGTTATCTTAAGACATCAGATGCCAAAATATGGTTAATAACATTATAAGGGTCTACTGCCTAGCATGCTGGACAGAAAAGCATTTAAAAATATAAGTTTTATTTATTATTGTTCCATATATTAATATGTTTAGTGATCAGCACTGAGAAGTTTTGAGTACAAATCATTTCCTATAAAGGTTGTAAAGGATCTACATTCAAAATATAGGCTACCTTTGTTTGCATTAAAGCTTTCTGTGGCTAACAATTAGGTGAGGAAAATGTAGAACGTAAGTAGCTGTCTCATACAGAGATGATCGTATATTGACCTGGTTTGGTACATCAGGCAGACAAGAAGGTATTTATGACCCATAACTAGAGCGTTCCACATTCAAACTAAATACACGTTTCCAAATTAACATGAATGTGTGCCCTAGAATATAACAAAGAATACACCATTATTTGAGACACAAGAATATTGTTGTTAATCTTGAGAAATATACTATAGAATAAATATGACAACAACCTATTACAAATTTACAGAACTTTTGTAGCGGTGACTAAACTCATGAAGTCACTGTGGGAGTGTTGAAACAGCAACAAAGAAAATCCTTAATAGTTTTCATGTAGCATAATATGACTGATTAGTTTTTCAGATAATACATTCAGAGATTCTTGGAAATCGCATTTCCTGTGTCGCTGTCATTGTTTGGTGAACATGACCTTTGGAAGACTGTCTTGACATTTTGAAAATTCACTGACTGACTGACACACGGTAGAGGATCTTGTATAGAAGGACACATTTAAAGCAAACCTAAAAGTGAGCCCTCTCCAGTGACTGTTAGCGATAGTCTGGACGTCAGCAGCTGACCGTTCCCTCTTTGCCATTTGCAGATGTTTGTGTCACAGAATAAGTCGCTGCCAAATCTCGTCAAACGACAATTACCGAAAACATTAATTAGCTGATTATTCATAAATGTGCTGACGCAGGACACATCTTTGATATTTGCAATGCAAAGCATGCAGGTTATTTATATTTAACCCAAATGCTTTCTGACCTCTTATTGCCTGAGAATATCTCATGACAAAGCTGCAGGATTGCTCGTTGAAGTGAGGGTTTTCTAATTGTCACAGCTAGTAGCATGCTGTTGCGGTAGTACCAGAAAGACAAAAGCTGCTAACACTAAGGTCTAATGTTTAAGCAGCATAGTCAACCGTGGACACCCCTCACTATGTGAAGCACTATGAGCATTTAGAAGTGCTACCCCATTGTGACGCTATACTGCGGTGAACCTGATGCTGAAATTCAACATCAAGAGTTGGGAGTTTGCGGTGGAGGAGTCCTGTGCTCTGGAAGCCTGGGTACCTTTCGGTTGATGTTTGGCTGTTTGCTTTCTTCCATCCACCCAGCCTCTTTTCCTTTCCTCCCGTTTGCCTTCTCTTTATTCTGCCTGCACAGTTTCAGCGCTCGGGATATGAACACATCTAGGTCAAACAGACGCTCTTTTTGCTTGACAGGAAGAGACTCCAAGGAGTCAGCATTTACCGACTGAGAAATAGAGGAAGTAGAGGAAAGGGGTTGAGATTCTAGGGGAGGCAAATGTGGCGTGGCGGGGGGTGACGCTGTTTGAGGTGACTGAGGAGGAAACAGAGACGTGGGAGATGAAGGGAGAAGCGAGGGGAGGGTGTGAGGGGAGGACGTGATGGGGGGAAATGGGCTCAGTCTGCCTTCATCATATTCGGTTGATGGCTGCCGCACAACTTCCGTATAGTGGAAGACCGGAGTGGGGAGGTCAGTAGGGGAGAGGGGAAGCGGGGGAGAGGAGGTGTAGTAGGAGGGCGAACGTTGCTCCAGGGAGGGACTGGGACTGGGCGAGTGCAGCCGCGACTGGGTGCTCTCCACCCAGCGAGAGATTTCCTTGAATAAATCCCCCGTCTCCTCCTCTTCTTCTACTTCCGCTTCCTCCTCCTCCTTCATCTCTCCCAGGTCCTCCATGCTGCCCCCAATAGGCTCAGCAGGCGCAGGGTGGCTGCTGGTGTTACGCTTCCAGTGAGACAGATCCAAGATCAGCTTCGGCTCTGAGTAGTGCTGTGGCTTTCCCTCCCGCCAGGCAATCTTATCCAGATAAGAAGGAGAGCCCACTTTATAGTCACAGGAACGGCCACAGTCAAGCTCCCCGTAGGCCAAACCACAGGCCCGGTCCAGAGAGGAGTGGGAGTTTTCCAGGAAGCGTTCAGCCGAGCTGCTGTGGGAATATTTGCGTGGGTCGACCTGCATAAGAGACATGGGGACGGAGAAGGTGGCAGATGAGGTAGATTGTAAAGTTTAATTGTTGAATTGCTTCTAATCTGTTGCTAAACCTCCTAAAAACAGACATGGTGTATCTAAAGTGTTGGATGCTGCAAGAAACATACAGGACAGCTCAAAAGGAAAAAGAAAAGACAACTGACAATTGTGACAAATGTGACAATTTTCTATTTAATGAAACTTTCATTTTGCCAAACAGCAGCTTGTGAAGCAAATAAAAAGCTTAAAGGAAAATCAATTGTAACAGGATTTTTCTCTTAAGAGGAATGACGTCTGTGTGCACGGGAAACAACGAGATTATTAGAAATGCAGTTACTCTTTAAAAACATCATTACTCACAATGCCACTGCTGCAAAAGGAAAGCCGTGCAATATCTCAGCCCTGAGCTAATTTATGCACCTTTAACCTAATTAGCTTAACCACCTTCTTCGTATCTCTCTTTGCGTATCATTAACACAAGATAATGAGTCAAGTACAAATCAGTCAGCGTGGGGCAAAAGGACAAAGCATATCCAACCTGAGCCTCCTCTAATAGAGCTGTGGAAGTGGCCCGGGGGTCCCTCTGCACCTCCTCATCCTCTGTAGTGTCTCCCAGGTCGGAGGTACCGTGGCCGGGACGCATGCAGCGACACCGTCCACCCGACTGTTGCCAGCACATGTCTGTAGATAAGCTGTTCTCATACCTGCAGAAAAGCACAAATTAAATCTACGTCAATCTCGTTATGTAATAATGTATTGACGTCCTTCCAAGGTGTAGAAAATGCTGATATCCAGCAGGAACTCTTTCTCTCTAGTGTCAGATCTCATTACTGTCACTGTTCTGCTTCGACTGATATTTCCACTTTGATTTCATCTATAAAATAGACTAACTAGGTAAACCGTGGGGAAGTGGCACTCTCTCGTGATTAAAACTCACTTTAGAGTCATAAAATATGATTGATGGATTAAATTATGGTATCTTGCGGTAGAATCGGTGACTCTAAATTGTCTGCGAGTGCGTACGAAAGGTTGTCTCGCCCTGTGTGTCAGCTCTGTGATAGACTAGCAATCTGTCCGGGGTGTCCCTGCTTATCTAATGGACGGATGTTAGAATTATGTCAGTAAGTCTTCTAAATCCTTCGATTACATGCAGTTTAGCACGACTGCAACTGCAGGAAAGTCGCCTGTGATGTATACCCAGCAGAAATATATAGTGTGACAACATTTCCAATAGGATTGCGGATTAGCCTGAAATCTCATGTAAATACTTGGCGCTCTAGTGTATGAACAGAAGCATAGTTATAGCATTTAACTGGAGAACGGTGCGGCTGAGAATTTGTCTTTAGTGACGGCAGAGTTGTGCATTTAGACACAAGTGGTTGCTTGTTAATTTCATGAGAAGTCAACAAAACAGACCACTGCCTGTCTGTCAGTTAGATATATCATATTAAAACATACTAAAAAATTAATGGGGAAAATCACATCATAAAAAAAAGGTAATGAAACCTGTCCCAGTGGATGCTGGAGGCCTGACTGTTGCTGTTGCTGAGGCTCTGCTCGGTGACGAGGCTGTCCTCCAGTTCGTCCTCGATGCGGAAGGGATGCGACGAGGTGGGCTCGTCCTCTGGACAGGAGTACTGCTGCAGGAAGAGGTGGGACAGAGCGGCTTCAGCTGTCAGGCGATCCATGGGGTTGAAGGTCAAGATACGCTCAAGGAAGTCCACAGCTGAAAAGAGAGAAGAAATGGTGTAAGTGTGGTCTTTTTAAGAAATATATTCATCTTCCTCTCAAAACTAAATCATATCCTCCAAACCGCTACTCAATCATCTGTGGCAGGTCAGAGGAGCTGAGTGTTCTGCATCTCTTTTTTTTATTTTCTCTTCACACCTCTGTCACTTTTGTCCATCTCCACTCTATTTTAGACTGCTTGACCTTCCCTTTCTCCCCCACCACTCAATTCCCGCTACTCACCCTGAGCATCCACTTCAGGCAGCAGTTCAGAAAAGGGTTTCTTCACTCTCCATCCATGACTGACATATGAAGGCATCACCTGCGGAAGTGTGGTTAAAATATTACACACTGCTGTTGGGATTATTTTCTCTTTTTTTGTACATTTCCTTAGCATATTTATGGTACTCTAATGAATGTAATTCCTCCTAAAAACATCAATTGAACACAACACATAGCTAAGACCCATGTTGGAAATGCTTGTGTGCACGATCATAAGCTGCAAACGTGGCCTGACCCCGTGTTAACAATCCGACTGCAGACATAAGGATTGCAGCAGCCACTGAGGCGTCACCTGTAGCAGATCCTGCCTGTCCTCCTCTCTCAGCACGGGCACTGTGTTGAGAATCAGCTGCATCTGCTCCAGCTCATGAGCTCCTTGGAGAGAGAACCGACCAATCGGAGACAAGCAGAGAAGAGACAGAGGATCAGTTACATAAGCCAAAAAGATAAAAAAATAAAAAAGAGACCAGTAAGGGTCAATAAGGAATAACTGGGAGGTGTGAGGAGTCAACTGAAACATATGGAAAGGTGGGGAGATTCTGTATGTTCTGCAGTCTATAAAACTATTAAAATAGTTTGGGATTAAAAAAGAATGTGCCTGTCTAAATACTGTATAAGGCACTTCCATTTTTAACTCAGTTGTTTAAAAATAAGTTTAATAAATGTCACTCCTCTTCTTCTCAAACAACAAAGATTTCTGGGATATAGTTTTTCTGATCACACTCAAACTGATATAAAATCCTGCGTCCTTCTTATACTGGCAGGTGTTTACTCCAGCAAAGCTCAATAATTATGCTAAAGCTCTACAACCCTAAACATCCTGATGAGTTTTTTGTTTGTAGGACACAAACAGTTTGGAATCAGATGCTGCCAACTCTGGAAAAAGTCCATAAAGTGCATTTCACCTTTGCTAACCGATGGAGAATAAATACAGTAAAGTCACTGATTATGATGCAGCTAGAAGTGTGACGTTTGCAGCTCGCAGACAGAAGTGCAGCATCATTTTTCCACCCATGTGACACAGCGCGAATTTGTCCTTTAAACGTCTCCATCTTGCTAACGGACACCAGCAGGTGGTGCTATGTCAACACAATCAGCAACTCCAAGGAACAAGCAAGCAGTGGCGGTGTGTTTGGATGAGACGACATTGTTTCCCCCCTCTGGTAAACAAAAATATATTGCGTTTCCACGATATTCTGTTGGTCAAGCGAAGGCCAAAGCAAACACCTCCAACACCTAATGCGTGGTACTCTAGCACGCACGACAAACAGGGAACAGACGACGCTGCTGAGTTTGCGACGGCGGTCCTGTGGCGCAGAGGGCTGCTGGAGGTCAAACGAGCCTGTCAGGAGGAACTACGTCGGCTTCAAACAGTGAGAACTTCTCTGTCATCATTGTTATTCTGGTCAGGCAAAGAAGTAGCCCGCAGAAGGAGAGTAAAGTGTCTTTGGTGGAGGACACTCTGGGAAGACAAACTCCTTCACTCTGACTGGATGCCACCACTGCTGTGATGCAATCTCTGAGCACCTTTTCTGCATCTCTGCCGGCAAAAACTTACACAGAAGACGTATGTACCACTGCATTCAGTCATAAAAGTGTTCCGGCTAGTCTGGTGCCACTTTCTTATACTTATTGCTGCAATACTGCAGACAGTGATGGAAGGGACGTCCTGGAGTGCTTGCCTTTAAAATGTAGCGTGCATATTTTTACATTTGTGTGCCAATACATGTAGATTTCACATTTTTATCTTATTTTAAACATGCACTGTCCATCATCTGCAGCAAAAACATTATCAGATCTGGCTGCACTTTTATCAAAAAGATGCTGTTATTTCATTACGGTCTCATATTTCGTATCGTTTCATAGAGACTGCGTGACTAACAGTTAGAGGTACCTGCAAACAGCATGCGTCCAGTGAGCATCTCAGCCAGTATGCAGCCGGCAGCCCACATGTCTATGGCCTTGGTGTAATTGTTGGGGGACAGGAGCAGACGGGGGGAGCAATACCACTTAGTTACCAAGCCCTCAGACAGATAGCCCTGGAGAAGTAAGTGAATTGGATAAAAACAAGAGGAGAGAGAAAAAAAACAGAAAGCTGAAAGACAGAGCAACAGAAGGAAATACTGCAGTAATATCAGCGATGAGCATGCAACAGATTGGATTGCTATCAGGTGTAAGTCTGCGTGTGTGCCTGAGGTGGTTAAGTTACTCATTTTCACCGCATCCAGCCGGCAGTTTATTGGCTGGTATTTCTGGTGGAGCGGAAGCGTTCTGATGTTGGTAGCTAAAAACGGAAACTGGAGCTCACAAGGGATAGTTTGATTTACACGCACAAAGACTTCATCATTTTTTATGTCAGCTACATGATGGAAACCGGCTTCTTGATACGCTCCGCAGTAGGAAACATTCCCCCCATCTCTCCACCTGAAGTCAGGCGATTGAGTTTCACCAAGTCTTTGATGCTCCGCTGTGTAACAGCATTTGTGCTCTTGTTAGGGCTGCTGTGCCTTTTGTAAATGTTCATCTTGTGCATAACGATGATGCTGCGCGTGGAGATGAGCCGCAGGCGAGCGCTTTCACATACAAACCAGATGTAGTGATAATGAGATGTTTTCGCCTGTTGCTATCATTAACGCTGTCATCGCTTCTTATGTATAACATTCCACCTCTCTTTCTCAAACTCTCAAAATACCTGCACTTACTACATCGTATTTCTTTTCTTTCTCTTCCCTGCCTCCTGAGCCAAACTTCACCGCCTCGGGCTGCTGAACTTTTTGACAGTCCTGGTAATAGAAGGCTATAGTCTGCAGAATGAAATATGCTTCTAATTCTCTCACATTTTGAGATTTCTCGGCAGCTGATGGCAGATTTGTTTTTTCGGTACAGTTTCACAATGACAGCCATTGCACACATTTCTTTTTTCACATTTGCGCCACCCTGAAAAATGTTATTTCATAGCACAGCCCAAGGAAAAGGCACGCGTCTAATCGGCCTCTAGCAACTCTTCTCCCATCCTTTCTTTCATCTCTCTCTAGCCCTCCCTCCTCCATCCTGCAGCTTTCCTTTCCTTCTGCTGTCCCAACACCCCCGCGTCATCCCTCCCACCGTTCACCTATCTCCCTCTCTGTCTGGTGCTTCTCGCGGAGTTAACTCTATTCAGGGTCACGGCATATAGGCAGTACGAGATTAAGCCCGATTCAGATGAGTTATCACACTCGGAATGGATGTCAGAAACTGCTCTGTTAGCTTTTTCACACCAGTTAAATTATCAAGGGCTCGCTGTAACACCAGCGGAACATCACACTAAGCAGGGCATGGCCCTCTCGAGATTATGTTTTAGGTCTGTCCCGAAGTGGTTTTACATTTTTGCTTCACTGCTGAAAAGCCTTCTTCATCTTTTGAAGCAGGCAAAAAACGGAAAAGGAGAAGGAAGAAAAAAAAAAACAGTGAATTGCTTCTTAATCAGCAGGTTATGGGCATGACTCTGAGCGTTTATTCATTGTGGCCCACCCACACGCCAATGTTCCCACCTATACATCACCTTTAGCGGTGAACTCTTCTGTAGAATTTTGCATCTGTGAGCTTCCCTCTCACTCCTCTCCTCTTTACCTCTCCATCATGGACTCCTTTTATTATTTTATCTCTATTCCTCATCTCCCCGTGCCTGCTCTGCCCTCACAGACCTTACTCTCAGCCTCTCCTTCCCCTCCATGCCCTCCCTCATCAAGCTCTTGTCTGCGTGGCAGCAGATAACAGAACAGAAACCGATGCTGAGTGCTCTGTGATCGTCTGACAAACATGCACCCACCAACATGCTATTCTCACTCTTCTATCTATCTGGCCCGCTCTCCCTTCTTTGCTGATCATTCTTTCCATCCAAGCCCTCCTTTCTGTTTCATGGCAAGCGTTTAAGATGGTGACTTTTAAAGAGTGCCAGTGTTTCAGAAGTGCGTCTTCAGGATGGCATGTTACTCGATGATGAAAGTTAATTCATTGAACAGCTCTGGAAACAGCTTTGAAGAGAAAAAATAGTATATTTCGGTGTTTTGTTGTGCAAAACGATGCGTGGATTTGGTGTCAGATTTCATTTTGGAACGCTGTTGACACATTTTCATCACCGTTCGGCCTTTTGTGTCACAGCTATCCATCATTATAAAAGGCCTACTGGGTGTCTGCACTCCTCTTTTCTTTCTCTTCTTCCCCCTCGACCTTCTTCTTGCTGTCTTCACCTCCCACTTTCCTCTCTGTTTGTTCACCCCACCTCGCTGTTTCTCTGCGTCATCATTAGCTCTGACTGTTCCCCACGCTTCACCCCATCTTGCTCTTTTTCATTTCCCTTCACCTCCGTTCTTCCCTCTTCCTCTTTCTTGCCGTTTACTTTTCAAACACTCTGTCCTTATTCACCTGTCCTCCCCTTCTTTCCCTCCGTCCTTCATCCAGGTCATGAATAATTTCTGGGCAGATCCGGCGCTGCCTCAGCAGGTGACTTTCACACATACACACTCAGAGAAGTTCCTGCCGGTGTAGACTGTAAACAACATCGCAAATCATGTTTTTCTGCCTCTGTTTTCTTCCTCGCTCCCCTCAGCCCCCCTCTGTCATCTCTCTCCGTCTGAGTAAATGTTTGTCTGTGTAGTCAGAAGTGCACTTCTAGACAGCTCGTCAAACAACCTCGTTTTCACTGCGCTGCGGAGTCACAGTGTTCGGGTGAAGCCGCTGTGATACCGCATGGACCGTATAGTGTACAAGTACAAAGAAAGGTGGGAGGGAGTTGTGGTTTTTTTGTGGGGAGCAATTACAGAAAATTGAAGAGAAGAAAATTCTTCAATAGTAAGGACGCTTAACTCGCCAATCTTGCTGTCAAGCACGCCGTAATATCAAATCTGATTACGGTTAACTGTGATGCAGGGACCCCATTTGAAAGGCGTATAAGCGAGGCATGAAAACGGTGCCACCAGTTTTGTTTAACAGCCCAAAAAAATGAAAGCTAATACTGTTTGTGAATTTCCATCCAGCTGAAGTCAGTGCTGCCCACGTCCATTAACACTAACTGCTTGAAAAAGCAGTGCTTTTGCTTTGCATTATTAAATAAGAGAGAGGATGCTATCACATTCACTGCAGGCATCTGCTTTGGTGTCAAAACTGCATCACAAATAGCCCTGCATCATCTTACACACATTACACAAAGAGGCGCGCACACATAACCGTGATAATATAATAACAACAACAACAACAAGCGATCTATCTATCTATCTATCTATCTATCTATCTATCTATCTATCTATCTATCTATCTATCTATCTATCTATCTATCTATCTATCTATCTATC